TTGGAGTTTATTTAAATTTAAAAAAAAAAAATAAGGTTTGATTGCAAACCAGTAAGAGTCAGAAATAATTCTAGTGAAGTCAGCATAAACCAGGTACAAATCAGCATGAAAACTGTAAGGAACAGGCTCAGGTACACCAGTTTCAAGATCATATAGTACGTTTATTGCCCAAGTACAGTGAGCTTTTTAGATTGCCATGGGACTTTGAATACTATTACTAGGTAATAACATTTCTTTTAGAAAACAGACAATTTAGACAAAACTGTACTTTTAACTCCTGATTTTATGCCTGTTCACAGACAACTCACCTTTTTTATATAGAAGATAACTGCTTTGAAACGCGCAGTAGCTTAATGATATTTTTTAAATTAGACCTCCCAAAGTCAAAATTCATACCCCTGCAATTTTCACCACACTATTTTCTGTCTTTCAAAATGCTCTTCAAAACTTTGATTTGCATACAGAAACATCTACATTCATAAAGCAAATTTAAAAAAAAACACCACCACACCCCACAAAACTGGGCTGGTGATTCTTTTTTTAAACCATGAGTCCATAGTGCACATACCCAAACTGTGAGCAGAGTAAATCAAAGCCTCTGTGAACACCTGGTGTGCATTACCTGCGTATTTTTATATAATACAACACTATCTCCTAATACCCGTCCCTCAGTTTACTGCTCAATTAGCGTTTCTATTGACCCAAAAAAGTGGGTTTTTTCCCTTCCTGACATCTTTAGAAACCAAAGAACACAACTAACGATTTCCTGGCCAAGGAATTCAGAGTCAGACAGGCTCATACCACGCCTGCCTGATCCAGCCTGAATAGGAAGGTTAATAACTGGATGAGCACTTGCAGACAGCCCCACTGCAGTGCCAGGACAAGCCTTGGTAGGAACTGCCACCAGCCAGCAAACCGTGTCCTGACCTTGGCCAAAAGTCCCAGCTACGCACGGGACAGTGCACACCAAGCCCGGGAGAGAAGCTGATGAAGTTCAGTGAACCCCAAGGCCATCTCCTCTGTTTCCAGCCATGACACTACACTCCTCTCTGTTGCTCGAAACATCTCAGAGGGACCCACGAGACCTGCACAGGAGGTACCGCAGAGCATCAGCCACTGTCCAGCAGCCTTCGTGGTCACTTCTGGGAGGCGGGTGGCCCAGCGGTGGCTGGCTCTCGTGCCTCTGGACTGCCCTCCACCAAGCAGCGCAGTTTGCCCTTCCATTCACACAAATTAATTCAGACAACACTGTTCTTCCAGAATAACGAGGTGGGAAGCGCGAGTAGAGAGTGAGAGCTCTCTTGGCATCTGATTCAAATCTGCGAACAGCTTCTCACAAGGAACTATTTTTAAGTTTCATATCAATCTGCTTGAGAAAGGTTCCTTCTGCTGCCTACAAATGTGCAACACCCCCCCACCCTTCGAAGAACCACAGCTCAGGACAGCAAGATCCTGCCCTGCACTTGCAACCTAACCAAGACTCGGTGTTTCCTGACGATAACAACCACACAACGCTCCTGCAGAGCGTGCCCTGGTGAAGCCCACCCCGAGCATCAGTGAAGCCTCTCCATTACCTTCAGAAGTCCTGTGTGTTCTTCACGAGCTTAGAGGTAGCACACATTCACCCGTGAAACAACCCACACTGAGGCAAGCCTGACTGCTTCGGGAAGCCATTGCTGCTCTTACCACTGCAAGAGGCAGAACTGCTATAGGAAATTGAGGGGGGGGGGGGAAAGAAAAAAAAAAAGGGAGATGCAGTAAGCGTATAGATGCTGTGCATGACCTGACCAGCGAGGTGAAACCATTGTACACTGGGTTATCAGAAGTTCCGGTATGAAGGCATTGTTCGGGCTTAAAGAGGTCTGTGAGAAAAAAAACCCCAAGGAACAGCACTACACAATGGATGCAGATAAGCAACCTCCGAACAAAGCCCTGGGTGACTGCAAGACAACGGGGAAAACTTATTAGCTGCAAGCGTTCTATATCCTGTCTCCAATAAAGCAACACAGATGTTCTGCTAATGCAGGGCGTGAAAAGATGAAAAGAGCACTAAGCAGCTATCGAGCCCTGGGCAGGAGAGAGGGTCAGTGTTCAACAGCTGTCAGAGGGAAACAGCGGCTGAGCGCACCAAGATGTCCACAGGATGGGCAAGAAAAGCCTCTTAACAGGTCGAGGAATGTAACACCTCTCTAGTCACCCGTAAGGGAGGCCACTGTTATGACCACCAGCCCCTTGATACCATGGCAAACAGGGCTTTGCAAGCCCAGCTCCAGCTCAAGAACAGAAAGACCATTGTTTGAGAGTTTAGTCATCAGGGTGGTTATCTCCCCTGGGCAACGCATGGTGTACACGCACACACAGAGGTTGCACCTCTCCACGGCACAGCGCAATCGGGGCTCTGCCCAGCAACAGCAACCAGAGCCATGGGGCTGGAGGAAGGAAGGGCTTCAAGACCCACCTCCTGTTTGAGAAGTGGGGGGCAGAATCAGCCCCACCATCTATCCTTGGCCACGTGCTCCTCATAGTCTGACCTCTCCCCCTGGTGTGTTTCCCAAATGCAGAGCTGTGGGCCCTCCACGAGGCTTTCCTAAGCCTGAAAAATCTGGAAAATCTGTTCCCTAGAAAATTCAGGCCACTTAACTAGCACATACTGGGCATCTGCTACTGTGTCGAGAGGAAACAGCAATGAGAACATTAGTTAACAGCCCGTCACACAGGAAACACGCTGAGCTGCAGAAGATCATACTCTACTCCTTTGGCATCTTTTGCTATCTCAAGATGGCGTTCCCCATCCCGTTCCCCACTGCTGAAGGGGGAGAAGTGTTTGCTCGTGCCAGCGGATGGGATTTGAACCCCAGATGCCCATACACTTGGTCCTGCACATCTGGGAGCCCCAGCTGTGCAGAGAAGGGCCGGCGCAGCCAGGGCACCCCAACCAGCACACACGGGGAAGCGTCACCCACCGAGCCGGGTGGCCACACAGGGGACACCTCCCCAGGACGCTGCGAACCTCAGGCAAGTTTTGCAGGGGTCATGGCTACTACCCTGCATGGCATGACAGCACTCCCTTCAGTTCACAAGTAGGTGCTACAAAATGTAAACATATTAATCTCTTCATTCAAAGTATCTGCACTGCCACTGGCTACAATTCGCAAGTTGCAAGGGCATAAAGAACCTCCTTTGGCATCTTTTGCTATCTCAAGATGGCGTTCCCCATCCCGTTCCCCACTGCTGAAGGGGGAGAAGTGTTTGCTCGTGCCAGCGGATGGGATTTGAACCCCAGATGCCCATACACTTGGTCCTGCACATCTGGGAGCCCCAGCTGTGCAGAGAAGGGCCGGCGCAGCCAGGGCACCCCAACCAGCACACACGGGGAAGCGTCACCCACCGAGCCGGGTGGCCACACAGGGGACACCTCCCCAGGACGCTGCGAACCTCAGGCAAGTTTTGCAGGGGTCATGGCTACTACCCTGCATGGCATGACAGCACTCCCTTCAGTTCACAAGTAGGTGCTACAAAATGTAAACATATTAATCTCTTCATTCAAAGTATCTGCACTGCCACTGGCTACAATTCGCAAGTTGCAAGGGCATAAAGAACGGGCCTTTTCTTCCCTCCAATAAAAATATTTTTGTCTCTCATTGTCAGCAAAGCAGCAAATGTAAATGAACACTTGAAAGTCACTGTATAACTAGAGTCATGGCATATAATCAGATTAAAAAGAGCATAAACCCAATGCAAGCAGGAAGCCGGAGCTCCTTGGTAAAAGGCAACAGAAGTGAAAATATGAAGCCACAAACAGTAATAAAACGGGTAAACCCGCGTTAGACCAGATCCAGCCCTGGTCTGAACCTGTGCATGCATAATTCCACCAGTTCTGTTACTCATTATGTTCATAAAAATAAACCCAAATCTTTTCAAGCAACAATTCAAAGTTCAAGGGAAAACTCTTAAGCTTGTAAAATTTACCAGATTCCTTCTAGAAGCTCAAACGGGTTAATTACTCTGATCAAAACATTAAACACAATGAGTTCTCAAAAGCAATCCGTTATCCATATTGTCTCAGAGTTTTTACCATCCTACCTAAAACACCTTTGAGGAGCCACACTTTTGGGAAAAAGGGGGGGGGAAGAAAGGTGGATGTTCCTTTCCTGAGAACTGCGGTGAAGCAATCCCAAACAGAGATGCTCAGCCCCTCTCCTGTGAGCCCCCCGCCCCCCTGCCCCAACTCAGGACCTGGGTATTTAGGAAATTTTGGAAGTCACCCCAGGAGCTCCAAGAGTGACAAGCAACCAAGAGCCATTTAGTGCCTGCAAAATCGACTCTGCAAAGGTAAGCACTAGCGAAGAGGCTCAGCTGTAACTCGGACAGGCCGAGCAGAGCCATCAGTGCTTGCACGTCCCTTGCAGAAAGCATTTTCCCAACGCCCATTTTTCTGGGAGCACTGCCCTCCAAATATTTTTGGCTGTTCCTCATCTACAGGATGGCGTTACAGTGCATCTGCAGCTCTGTCTCCAGGAAATACACATAAAGCTGATTCATTATCTTAAAATGCTGCTTTCATTTCTGCTCATTAAAAGCACATTTCAGATCCCTGTGCCGAACACGCAGCCGATGTGCTCTGGACACAAATTAAAGCACTGGGTTTCAGTTCTCCGCTTTTCTCATTTGGGTCTCATTTGCTGCCCACATCGTGCATTCTCCATTTAAAGGACAGAGATGTCAGACCTGAGCTACCACCAGAAAACGCCCTGGATAAAAAATAAAATACAATCAAATCCTCTCTCCCCCTGCGATGCCTGGCACTCCAGGCAACCGCGCTGGATGTCAGACCCAACCCCGATTTCAGGAGCCGCAATCCCGCACCAACAGCATCCTCCCTGCAGAAACAGAGCAATAAACAGTTGTTCTGCACACCCCACAGCCCAGCACGCCGAGCCATTCCGAAGAGAAGGAAAAGCAAGTCAGCTTAGGTAATGCACGCGTTAGGCAGTCCTCACCTTTAGGGAGTCAAAGCAGGCAATAACTCGACCATTTTCCACATGGCAACTCCGTGATGGATGGGCGAACTTGCACTCTGCATCAGACCGAGAACAAGTCCCTCTCTGAAACTCTCGACACACTTCTAACGTCAGCCATTTTGTATCACGAACCAGGGAAACGTTTACAGCCATATTAAAAAAAAACCCAAAAATTAAAATGCAAGCAAACGCACCCTTCTTCAGGGCAATATTTACTGCTGATTTTTTTTTTTCTTCTTCTTTTTTTTTAAAAAAAGGGTAAAAAAGTGAATTCAAGTTAAACGTGAAGAAATAGCTAACTTGTTGCTTTGGTAGAACTCCTATTCATCAGCACTTAGGTTTTCATTTAAGTCAAATCGTGTTTGTTTAAACAAGAATTAAACATAAAGCCAATCATAAAATAGAAATCTTATCAGAACAACTGAAAATCAAATTAGAGGCCAGCTCCTAAAAGTGCAATTGTAGAAGTTAAAATATAAGTGTTATATTTTGTGCCACTGCCGAAGTTACTTGCAAATAACTGGCAGACGTTCAAAAGAATTCTGTGCTCTCCAGTTAATGGTTTCAATTATTCTTGCAAAAAGCATATGCTGCTGGCAGCACTTCAGTTTGTGGAATGGTCTCGGTCCTTGGGGAGAAAACTTCGGGTTGGTTTGTGGTTTTTTTTTCCTTCTATTTCTTGCTTCTAAAAATCACGGTTCGCGAGCATCAAAACGAGCAAAAGGACGTCTGAATTTTTCTTTCTTTCTTTCTTTCCTTTTGAATATTTGCTACATACTCGGGGAAGGAAAAAAAAAAATGGCTGAGCAAACTGCGTGTAAACGGGGAGAAAAAAAAAAATAACCCAAAACACT